ACTTTCGTCCAAATCAGTAGAGAAATAAACTGCGTTTGGAAAAAAATCGAATAGATTTCCATTTTTTATTTCAAGTTGCGGATTGATATCTAAAGTTTTGTAATGATATTCTATGAAATTTTCAAAGGTATCATTTTTAGAAATAATGTTGATATTTAGACATCGAGATAAAGCATCTTCGTTAGTATTAAACTTTCCTGGTTTATGAATAATCTCAAATTTGTATTCATTAAGTAATAATCCCCATCTAATCAGTCTACTTCCGGGATTTTTACAGTTTAAAAGCCAAGTGATTGGTTTATTATCGGTTACAATTTTAAACTTTCTACCATATAGGTAGCATCTAAAATGTTTAATGCTCCAAATTACTGCTAATAATTCTTTTTCCATAGTTTGATAATTTTGTTCGGCAGAATTTAACGTACGACTTGCGTATGCAATAGGTAGGTCCTGCCCGATCTCACCTTGACTTAAGACCGCACCAATCGCATAGTCTGAAGCGTCGGTCGTCAAAATAAATTCTCTTGAAAAATCTGGATATTGAAGTAAAGGTTCATTTATTAGAATTTCTTTAAAGGTGTCGAAAGATTCTTGACATTCTTGAGACCAAATAAAAGCAACATTTTTCTTTAGAAGATTAGTCAATGGTTTAGCAATTTTTGCAAAACTGTTGATAAATTTACGATAATATCCAATTAAACCTAGGAAACTTTTTACTGTTTTTTGATTTTTAGGAATGGGAAAGTTTTTTATTGCTATAGTTTTTTCTGGTTTTGGTTTTACTCCTGATTTAGAAATGATATGACCGAGATAAGAGATTTCTTTACGGAGGAATTCACATTTGTCGGGTTGTAACTTTAAATTATTATTTCTGAGTCTGTCGAAAACCGCTTCAAGACGTGAGACATGTTGATTTAGATCTGATCCATAAATAACTATGTCGTCTAGATAAACGAAACACTGTAACCCTTGTAAACCAGTAAGAACTGCATTCATTAGTCTTTGAAAACAAGCGGGTGCATTTTTTAATCCAAAAGGCATTCGATTAAATTCCCAGTGACCTAAAGGTGTAGTGAAAGCGGTTTTTGGTTTATCTTCTTCTCTCATTGGAATCTGATGGAAACCAGAAGCCAAATCGAGTGTGGTGAAATATTTACTATGGCCTAATTGATCTAAAATTTCTTCGATATTTGGCATTGGATATGCATCACCAATTGTAACTTCATTCAATTTTCTAAAATCAACCACTACGCGCCATTTTTGTTCCCCCGAAGCGTCCATTTTTTTTGGTACTACCCATAGAGGGGCAGACCAAGGCGATGCAGACGGTTGAATTATTCCCTGTTGTAACATTTTATTGATTTGTTTATTAACTTCGGTTTTATGAATTTCTGGGTATCTGTACGTTTTTGTATGAATGGGCTTAGAATCAGAGATGTTTATTTCATGTTTAATAGTGTTAGTACAACCAAGGGTATCTCCAGGTAGAAAGAAAATATCTTCATAATTTTCACAAAGATTAGTTATGAAGCTCTTTTCTTCTTGGTTTGAATGGTCTAATCTAAGACTTTGTTTCAATAGTTGGCTCCTATTTTTAATAAAATTATTTTCAGTACTTTGTTCCGAAGCAAAATAACAGTAGCTTTCTTTAGGAATCTGTTCTAAATAGATTGAAATAGGTTTTAATTGAAAATCAATTACTTTTGAGTTTAAGATTGTTGCAAAAGCTTTAATATTCGAATTTACTTTAGTCAATGCTCGGGATAAATAGATTCCCTTAGATATTTCCATATCTGGTATGATCCCTTCTTTTATTTCCGGGTTTAGAACGTTGATTTGTATTATTGTTTCCGTACGAGATTTGAGAACAAAATAAGAACCAGTGTTAGGATTAGCGTTTAATCCGATAGGGATTTGAAATGGCAATGAGTTTAGAGATAGAGTTCGTTTTTTAAAATCGATTTTTGCGTTTTGATCTTGAATAAAATCCAATCCAATTAGTCTATTAGACCGTCATAAGGGACGTTTGTAGCCTGATTTAGTATGTGGAATTTTATGTTCAAAATCTGATTGTTAATGTTAAAAGGAATAGTGGTAGTTCCAACTGTTTGAATTGGAGAATTAGGACAGAGTCCATGAACAGATATTTTTTCTGAAGGAACAAATTTAGTTATCTCAGGATTGAGTTTGTTGGCTTTTATCAATGAGCAGCTTCCACCAGTATCAAGTAAAAATCGGAGTTTTTTGTTTTGATTTTTTGAATATTTACTTTCTAGTTCAATGAAACTTGAGCTATTTTCAGCAGGAAATATTGTTAGTTCTCGTCGTTCTCGAACACCGCTAAAGTTTTGAGATGATCCTCCAGTGAGGTATTCGTCATTGGAGGAGCGTTGGAGTTTAAAGAATTTGAATGATTTGGTTGATAATTTGGTACATTAGAATTGTATTGAATTGAATTAACGTTCGCGTTCTGCCTTGAATTCGTATGAGGTGAGTCGCGAAAAACTGGATTATGATTTGTCGAATTTCGATAAGGTCTTCTATTAATTTGATTGCTCGAGTTTTGGTTTAAGTTTTGAGAATTAGAGTTTTGATTCCTGTTATTATGTTGATAGTTTGAGTTTTGGAAGTTAGAGTTTAGATTTCTATTATTACATTGATAGTTTGAGTTTTGGGAATTAGAGTTTTGATGAGATTGGTTAGTATGCTGTCGATTAACATGGAAATTCATCGAATTATTAGATCTTCCTGCATTATTATTATATTGTCTTTTTCTACATTCTTCAATAACATGCCCTTGTTTTTTGCAGTAACGACAAAATATCTGATTATTCGTAAACAAAGTTCTTACGTTTGCATCATGATTTCTTGTTTTGAAACAATTATTTGTAGAATGCGAGTTGTTTTTGCAATTTTTGCAAAACTGAGTTGAACTGCGCGACATAGCCACAGCGCGTTCTTCAGAAATAGCTGCACTATACGCAGAATTAATCGAATCAAAATCTTTCCATCTCAACATTCGCGAAATTTCGGGTTTCGAATGATAAATAAATCTATTTAAAGCAATTTCGTTCAACATTTTCAGTTTTCCAGGAATCTCTTCCGGTTCTGTGCAATTTTGTTGAGTAGTAGATATCAATCGCGAGTTAATTGTTTCCAAACGTTGAAAAAAGTCTTTCACTGATTCGTTAGGACTTTGTTTGCAATTATTTAGCTCTTCCATTAATTGAACGTAATGTTTTTTGTCTTGATATAAAGTTTTTAAAGCGTCTTTTAAGGTATCCCAATTATCAAAGTTTTGGGTAGCTAACTGTTCTTTAGCTTTGCCACCGATTCGAGGTAAAATAAAATATAAAAGAGGATTTTTCTGATCGTCCTGTGCTAATACATTGGCATTATTACAATTCGCTAAAAATTGCCCTAATTCAAGACGATTGCCATCAAAACTATTAGGTATTAGTTTGCATAAAAAATCTACGGAAAACCTACCATTATTTGGGTTGGAATTTGACGAAGGAAGCTGATTAAAAATGTTTTGAAAAGTTTCTAATAATATTGTTTGTAGGTCTGGGTTTACGGCAGGAGGAGTCATAGTGGCATATAAGTATTAATAAAGGAGTTAGACAAACAAAAGTAACCTCATTAAGAGACAAAAATCACTTACCAAAAAACTTGAAAGCTAGTGGTTACACAACAACTGTGATTCAATCCAATACTGGTCAACGCTGATGATAGCTTTGGCTGACTATGGTATGTCTTGAATCTTTGTATCCAAATCCTGCTGGATCTTGCTAGATACTTCTGAATCGTACCGACCGCGCCAAAATCTGTTGTGATCCTTCAGTGTTTTGCCTTGGTTAAAACTACTTTTGTTTTTGGTTTGAAACTTGTAGCTTTATTAGGTAATGGAATATAGAATGAAATTGAACTACAGCAAAAGTAAGACTTATTTTAGAGAGAGAGTTTTAACAAAATGTGTTACTACGACTAAAGCTGTCTTAAGACTGTCTTCTTGCTTCACTAGATCTCTTACAAATCGACCTTTACATCCCTTCTAAAACGTTTCTAAAACCTACATAATTACAACTGGAAAACCCTAAATAAATATTAGCAATAAATGACAGTCTGTTCGCCCAAAGAATGACCATTAAGGATATTTGGGAATTTTGGGGTTTATGGTGGACAAATGTTTAATTTATTTACATACAATATCTTTGGGTTCTTTAACAGAAAGTCTGGGTCATATAATAATATTGCTTTCGGCGACGGCGAGACATTATTTGGGAATTTTGGGGTTTATGGTGGACAAATGTTTAATTTATTTACATACAATATCTTTGGGTTCTTTAACAGAAAGTCTGGGTCATATAATAGTATTGCTTTCGGCGACGGCGAGACATTATTTGGGAAAGTATTCGAGGGTCGTAAAAGGTACAATGTCATGATATTATGGAGGAATATGACAGATCACAACAATACGCAGAAGCTCATACAATTCATCATGGTCCTTCGATCCTGATAAAAACTATTGAAAATAGTGGTTTTGTGACCGAATTCGTCGATATTGTACCGAAGTCTACTCGGCGTCTCCGCTTTGTGCGATGATTCGCATGGCAGAACATCGTCTTTGAGCGTGAAAAGTACATAACAATTATATTTTCGTTGATTTGTCTACTAATTTGTTTGGTGTGTGTATCCTTTTTCGAACCTTAGTATAGAATTGCATTTGTTTCGATCTGATATTGTTTTTTGTATTTTTAATATTTTCGTTGTTCTATATTTTGATTTTTCTCGTTTTTTAGGGCTATTTTGCTAGTCATACACTACTTACTGCCAAATTTTTGGCTATCAATTATAGGTAGGTACCTACCTTTTAATTACTTTCGTGTTTTCGTAGCTCCTTTTGAGTTTTTTTTTTCTTGTCAACATAAGTCACTATAGCATTAAATTTGTATTATCAAACCTTTATATTTCATTGATTTCTTTATTTGTCATATACCATGGCAGATATTATTGCAAAAAACAAACGTACCACAACAAAACGTTCATTAACTCATTTCAAAAATTATTTTGAAGCCCTAAAGGCACAAGATGACTTAGAAATTAATATTATTGAGTTGGAAACTCGCCTAGAAAATGCTTTGAAGTTTCTTGACGATTTTAATACTGCCCAATCAGAAATCGAATCGGAAGATGGTGATTATGACACCAATATTAATACTGTTCATGAAAAAGAGCGCTTAGATTTTGAAAAGGCATATTATAATTTAACATCGGAAGTTAAGAAATTTATTTTTGATAAATCTGCAGCTTCCGCAGATGCAGATAGATCTAGCGCTCATACGAATAATAGCAACAACAGTAATAGATCAGGGACCCTATGTTTGAGTTCATTCGACTCAATATCGCATGCGATTTTTGTAATTTATCGAAGGATAGACCAAAATTGATATGTTCGAATATCACCAGCGATAAATTATCGACCATAAAACAAGGAGCGGATATTTAACGTGCGATAACAATTATCGATCGAAATGGACTTAAATCCTAACCTCAATTGATTGTTTACATGTTTATTATTAATTTCGTGTTGGTAGCAAAATGGCAAATTTTGATGAAATTGCAATGCTAGCTATTGCAGAAGTAGTGGACGATGCTGCAGGTGTTGTAGCAGAACAGCGAAGGCCCTTCTACCCTCGTGTAGATGCATTTCAACTTGGAGATGCACAATTTATTAAAATGTTTCGTTTAAATAAAGAATTAGTTCGGGAAGTAATTCGACTAGTGTCTCCATATATAGAAGAGGGAAGTAGAGAGTCAGCTATAAATATTGAGACAAAAGTAAGTTACCTTTATCAAATTATTCTAAATAGTTAGGTATATAAATAATCATAATTCATATCTATAAAGGTTTTAGTAAGTCTTCGATTCCTTGCAAGTGGCAGCTACCAGCTGGACACAGCTTCCAATATACACACAGCATTAAGTCAGTCATCTGTTTCAAAATGCCTTAATGAAGTAATTAATGCTTTAAATCAACCAGATATCGATTGGTTAGTTTTCCAAGTAATATGCAAGAGCTTGAGAGTAGCCGTGATGGGCAAGTAGTTTTATTTTAATAATTACTGTGAACGTAACATCTCTTATGGTCGTAGGTTTTATCAAAAGTTCAATTTTCCGGGTGTAGTGGGGTGTATAGATTGCACACATGTTGCAATCGTAGCACCGCCTAAAAATGATCCTGTATATAATGAATATGCGTATGTGAATAGGAAGAATTACCATTCCATAAATGTACAGCTGGTTCGTACCTACTTTTCATTTCATCATTCTTAGGGACACCGTTATAATATAAAGTCTTATTTTACTTAGATATGTGATTCTCGGATGAAAATTATTAATGTAAATGCTCTTTATCCTGGCAGTACAAATGACGCTTTCATTTGGAATAACTCCAATGTGCAGGAGGTAATGCAAAATATACATCGCAACAATCCGAATCAGTTTTACTTACTGGGTAAGAAATTCAAATATATTAGCATCGTCATGCTCAATTATATTTTTAAAATGTACCTGCATAACATATTCTAGGAGACTCTGGATATCCATTAAGGCCATGGTTATTGACACCCTTGGAAAATGAACCCTTGCCAGAGTCCCCAGAAGCAGAATACGATCGTTGCCATAAACGCATACGATGTATTATTGAAAGATGCAATGGTCTTCTTAAAATGAGGTTCCAATGCCTTTTGAAACATCGATTAAATCCGGAGAAAGCTGCTCGTATAATTAATGCTTGCATAGTGTTACATAATCTTTGTATAGGATATAATATGCCTGCGCCGGAACCAGAAGATGGCGATGAACACTTTGATGTGGAAATACTGGATGATGGAGAAAGACAACATGAAGAAGCTATTGGTGCAAGAGTTAACCTCAACTGCAAGAAGGTCGAAGATTGCAGAGAAGACTGATCCAAAATTATTTCACCAACTAAGATTTTTTCTTATGATAAATAGAACATAATGTTTAAAGTTAGGTAATATTTCATGTTGCATTTAAAAAAAATAATTGTATTTTCCCACACCTACAATGCACATATTATATTAGAAATAAAGTGAAGTGAACTTCGTTGACCAGTCAGAAACAACTACTCCGAGGGCAAATACCCCTACCGGCGTTGAACTACACTGATTGGTCTGAGCTTTCGTTGGCAGTAGAAATTGTTAGAAAGATTTTTACAGGTAATGACCAACGTGAATACAGGGACACTTCGGTCCCTGTTTGGGAATCGGCCCACTGAGCAGTGGACTCAGGCTTCCCGTGCCAATCCTTGACGCGTTTCGTCCTTGTTAGGACTCATCAGAAGGACATAGGCTGAAGCTCCCTGTCCAAGCAAAATTGAACTTCGTTGACCAGTCAGAAACAACTACTCCGAGGGCAAATACCCCTACCGGCGTTGAACTACACTGATTGGTCTGAGCTTTCGTTGGCAGTAGAAATTGTTAGAAAGATTTTTACAGTTAATGACCAACGTGAATACAGGGACACTTCGGTCCCTGTTTGGGAATCGGCCCACTGAGCAGTGGACTCAGGCTTCCCGTGCCAATCCTTGACGCGTTTCTTCCTTGTTAGGACTCATCAGAAGGACATAGGCTGAAGCTCCCTGTCCAAGCAAAATTGAACTTCGTCCGCGGACACATAACCGGCACGTTTCTCCTTTATTTCATTCAAATTCATATATACTAAGTTAATAAATTAAAATTCTCCACAGAAAATAAACTCAAATACCCGGCAAATAGCCAAAACTCAAAACAGAAAACAGCTGATGAAAAAAGGAAGGCCCACGCCATGTATATTTATCATGTGACTTAAATACCATTAAGCTATTGGTTACAATCGTGACACAAGCTACGACATCCCTCACAACACTCGAAACCGTCCAACTTTTATCGTATTCGGTTCGGGAATAGCATATCGAACAAGAATATCGCATGCGAAATTTTCGCGATGCTAATATCACGTTCGAAATGTATCGGACAAACTCAAACATAGGGTTCCAGGCCTACTAGAAACCCAAAAATCATTAAAGCCTATATAGCATTTATTTGCTTTAGTACAAAGGCTATTCATCTTGAATTGGTTAGTGATCTAACGAGCCAATGCTATATTGCAGCATTACGTAGATTCATGTCTCGTCGTGGAAAGGTTGTCCGAATATATAGTGACAATAGTACTACATTTGTTGGCGCCGCCAAAGAGATACATACTTTCTTTGAACAAAATAAAAATTCAATCACAACTGGGCTCTGGAAGGCCGGTGTTAAAACCGTCAAGCATCACCTAAAGCGAGTGGTTGGCAACGTTCCATTGAATTTTGAGGATTTTTACACCGTGCTTTGTCAGATCGAGCATGTGTAAATTTTAGACCTCTTTTTGCAATTTCAACCGATCCTAACGATTATATTCCCCTCACTCCCGCACACTTCCTAATTGGTGAAACATTCAACAATGCATTACCTTCACGTCAAATGCTCGATGTCAAGGAAAATCAGTTGTCCAAGTACGAAAAATTCCAAAAAATGGTACAGCATTTTTGGTCCCGTTGGGCGAAAGAATACGTTTCAAACCTACAAGTCCGCTCCAAATGGAAGAAACACTTTGATGATATTTTCAAGCCTGGTCTTCTAGTACATGTGAAGGAAGATGGAGTTCCTCCACTGAAATGGTGCACAGGAAGAATAACAGACATTCATCCTGGGTCAGATGGTGTGACACGTGCTGTAACTATCAAAAACAGTTCTGGAATTTTCAAGAGACCGGTGGTGAAAATGTGTGTGCTTCCGAACCAATCATGACTTTAATTTGTTAAATTTGTTGAATGCCCTTAAGGTCTTCAAGGGGGCCGGTATGTTTATTGCCTTAATACGACCCTGCCTTTTTCCACCCCGTGCAGTGCTGCTACGGCTAGCAAAGTGAGAGACTTTAAAACTAACTCATTCTCACTCTCAATAGAACGGTACACAGGGTGCATCATTCTGTTACATTTTGTTGTATTTATACATTTTTCGCCTTATGTAAATCAAAAATAAATTGTTAAAGCATGAAAACTTAGTCAACATTATTTTAAATATACGCAGAAGCTCATACAATTTATCATCAATATTACCAACAAATGTTTCGTACCCCTATGGGAGCCCCAATAAGCCCAATCTTGGCCAACCTGGTAATGGATCATGTTGTTAAAAAAACATTAGAATCATTGGATTTTGAAATTCCATCCTTCTTACTAAATATATGTGGATGATTCACTGACAGCAGTGCCTAAAAATAAGATTAATGACACTCTTAACCAGTGGCGGCTGGCCCTAAGGGGCCAAGGGGCCGTGGCACTGGCGCAAAATATGTCGGTCCTTTTAAAATATATTTATTTATTTTTTTTAGTTCAATAGTTATTACAATCGTCAGATCAAATTACTTATCATTTTATAATTTGATCCCGACGCACAGTGTGAAATTTTCGGGATCTAGCTGGAAAATAGCTATTTATACAATAAGTTACGAAATGAGCGTCTTTTAGGCACGCGACGTGAAAATTGTCCAACGAGGCAAAGCCGAGTTGGACAACACGTCGAGTGACTAAAAGACATCGTTTCGTAACGTATTGTATACAAGATTTTTTCTACTGGCATTTTATAATAAAAAAATACAATTTTATTTCATGTGAATAAGTCGATTACACCCAAAATCTTTGTTACCTGCTTTTACTTGCCACCTGACACTTTTCATGCGATTTTCTTTTGAAAATTCGACATCAATAATTAAAATCCTAGAAAGTAGGTAATAACACAAAGTTCTGTTTTGAGTAACCCAAACGTTCAATTCAGTAATTCCATTTTCAATATTCATATTAAATACAAAACAAAATTCAAATATGTGTTTATTGTGTTTTTTATTTCTGAATAATGAATGACACTTTTAGGCACTAGTGCTTAAAAATTACTTTTACGCACTCATAAGTCACTTTTACGCATTCAAAAGTCACTTTTACGCACTGAGTGCCTAAAAGTAACTTTCACGCACTCAGTGCCTAAAAGAATGTCGTTTCAAAACTGAAATGACAATCGAAAAGTTGCTATTATGAAACGTCAGTAGAAAAAAATATTTTAGCTGCTTTTTTAATGAAATATGAGTCTCTTTTGTCCGTATATAGGAGATTTTGATAAAACAAGATTGAGCATGCACCAAAATAATTTTGCCCCCCTTCGCATTTAAGATTTTCTAAAGGGTAGCTTTGGGGGCTGGGAGGTTGAAAGGGGGAGGTGAATTTTGCATAAAAACTCATCCCCCTCCAAATTATAGTTGAAGTGTTTCAGGGATTTTTTCGAAAATTTTTCAACTTCGAGATAATAGAAGTGGTAAGTTTTAAAATGAACACCCTGTATATAGA